TTGACAATGCATGTCTTTATTCAGCAATACTCAAGTTCTGTACAATGAAATGACTGAAGTTTTCTTTGAATATTTCACTTTACATGTTATTAATATATTTAAATATGAAGAGACGCTGTTTGGCTGACAGTCAAGCATCAACCAACTAGATGAAACTTTTTGTTTTCCAGTTGGTGCAGACAGTACATCACAAGGATGGACAAATTGGCCAAAATTATGGCTGAAACATTGATGCAAGTCAAGTTCCTCCAGGAAAATATTTAAGTGCTGTAGGTAGCTGAAGTGACAGATGCGCAGAATTTGGTGCAAGTTAGGGCGTGGGCAATAGAGTTTAGTATGATGTGAAGTTTGAGGAGGATTGAATTGGGACACTAGCTAGGACTATGTTGAAATGGTCAAATGTAAAGGTTTGACTGAGGGCTTTAGCAGGGGAGAAGCCAAGTCAGGTACATGCTTAGGGTGTGCTTAAGGTTAATTAAATCCATTAATTAAAAAATAACCTACATTTTGCCTTAGAAATCTTAATCATAAACCAGTGTTTGGCTTATGGTTTTAATTCAATCTTGCAGTTTCAATGATATGCATCAAATTTCAAGAAATGAAGATGAAAAGAAATACTATCCCACCAACATAGGCTGGAATTACAAACTTTTCACTTTACGCTGGTCACTCATGATCTTAACTTTTCCTTTATATGCAAGATACTGTAATCCTCATGGAAGGTATTCATACATATAATCTACTCTTTTGTCCTTAAAATGACCCAATGGACTTTCACTTTTGATTTTCCAATATAATTTCTAAATTCACCTGGCTAAATGAATGGAATTCAGCCAGGGGACACTGACAGTGAATAGTTGTTGCATGAGAAGCAACACCTTTTTGCAGTCCATAAGTGTGCTTTTCCAGCTCCACATTTATTGACTCTAGCTTCCAGCATCTGCATTCTTACCATCTCCAAACCTTTTTGCAGTCGATTGGGTGCACCCACGCAATCACGGGAAGCTAAAAATACATGTTCTTGTTTTGTAAAAATCGGCAACGTCCACTTTCTTTAGTGCTGGATACAAATCACAGGGAGGAAGGTGATTGGTGCATCAGCAGTGGTTAAAATTAGAGTTTCAAGCAGCAGGAAGCAGTGCAATATGCATATCAACTGTAAAAGCAGCTGCTACAGTAACTGTCTGGAAACTTCCTTCACTCTTAGGCAGGCCAAGAAAACACGGCATTTCAAAAACACACCAAGTACAGGAATTGACAAAGTAAGTTCTGTGAAAAACCCCAGATTCATCATGGGAAGTCATGCTTTGATCATTTATCTTACATACCCCAACTTGTTTCCTTCCATATTCAGTACGAGTGCTTTGATTTTTATAAGCAACATAAGTTAACTTATTGGCGAAGGGTGCAAAAGACTGGGACTACCATAACAACATTCCTTACAAATACTAAATTAAATAAATTAGAACAAACAACTGCGGGTGCTGGAGGTCTGAAATTGCTGAAGAAACTCAGCGGGTCTGGCAGCATTTGTGGGAAGAAAGCAGAGTCTGGTGACTCTTCATCAAAAACTGAGTGAAAAAGAGATCTTTTCGAGAGAGTTATTTCCCCATAGCCCTCCAACTGTTATTTCTTTTCAATTATACATACATAATTTTGAATGTTATCACCAAGCCTGCATTCGCCTCTCTTTCAGGCAGAGGATCCTAATCATAAAAATTCAGTTAAATGGAGAAAAACTAGGCTGATAAGCAAGCCACATTCCTGCAGCTTTTCCTCTAGCATTCATCAATACAAATGCAAGAATCTCCAACAAGCAGAACAATTTATAATACAGGAGAAATGGGTGGCAATTGCCAACGAGACCTGACTTGCCAATCAATTAATCAGCACCTTTTTCTCCTGTAGTAAAAGTTGTTGTGACTGTTTGAAAATCAGCAACATGACTTCCATTCAGCAAAATTAAAGAAAAATTCTCATCTCACTGCTTCTCTGACCACAAATTTATATTAAATCTATACTGTATCCTCAAGTAACCAGCACTCTGGCAGTTTCTCCCAATTTACTCAGCATGACCTCTCATTATATTGAGCAACTGGTGTTCTATCTCACCTTCGCTTTCTCTGTTCAAAAGAACAATCTCCATTCTCACCCCAAAACTGATGTCTCTCATCCCTTGCATTTTTCTGCCAAGTCTCCTCAGTGCCCATTTCAATGCCATCCTAAAGTGTAGAGGACATGAAAGGACAAATACCCTTGCTGAGGGATGATGGGCTCAGGGGGCGAATGGCCTGCCACAAGCAACTAATCTCCAACGTATTTATTTGAACCAGGCAAACATATGTCTAGCCAAAGGCCTGCAACTATCAACTAATAGCCTGAACTGTGCCAAGGACTTATTGAGAGGCTAATTTGAAGGAGGGGACCACAGAAATGAGAAATTTTCAATATCTCAATCACAAATTAAAGAAGGAATTTTCCAAAGGCCGTCAAGAAACTGAAGTCCAAAATTAGTTTTTAAACTTCCAAAACTGATGCATGAAGGAAAAAAAAAACGAATCCATAGAAAGAAGGGGCTGTTTGGGTATCACGTCTTTGGTCACCTCAGCAAGGTGTTTACGATACTTGAAGTCACAAGTTTCCAAATAAGGGTGATCAAATAACATCGAACAAAAGGCCATGCATTCATGAATGAATTCCATCATCCACTTAAGTCATGGCTTTGCAAGTAAGCATGTTTCTTTAAACAATTCACATAATCTTTGAAACTGCATACTATTGTTGCAAAGAATGTATTACCATTTTCTTTTGGGTAGCTAGATTTTTTTGAAATTAAGGAGGAAGTTCTCAAGAATATCAACTTTTGTGCCAGATTCCCAGGAGAGAGTTCAGGCTTGCACCATTCCCCCCACAGATACTTAAAAACCACTATCCTAATTCTATAAGCAAATCCTTATTAAGGTTGCTCTCTTTCAAAATTATAAAAACATTTGAAATATGGGACATGTCCTCTCTGACCCCTCAAAGTGACAGAACATCAATAGGCAAGACACCTGCCTGCTCCATAGCTATACACTGAACCGAGCTGACTTCCTTGTGTCAGAATCATTTTAACTATTCTGGCCGACTTCAAAATAGCTAGAGGGGTTTCCAGCACAGAACGAAATTTAATACACCTTGGTTCTTTGTTGGAGCAATCAAAGTCTAGTTATCACCATTAACATCATAGGGATGACCATTGACCAGAAACTGAACTGGAACAGCCATATCTATTAATTCCTAATCAACATGTTCAGAGATGTTATTACACACCTCTGGAGCACATGGGACTTGAATGTAGTTCTCCTGGCCTGTAGGTAGGGACACTACCACTGTGCTACAAGAAGCCTATCCGCCATATAAACACTGTGGCTAGAAAAGCAGATCACCTGGTCAGAATCCTGCTATAGCAACTCACCTCCTGGCTCCCAAAACCTGTCTACCGTCTACAAAGCACAAATCAGGAATGTGATGGTATATTCTCCACTTGCCTAGATGGACAGTAAAAGCTTGTCCAGCCATAACACCCACATCCAACAGAAGAATTTTTATCCAAGCTCTCCTGATAGCTGTGTAATCTGCTCCTTCAGGAATTTAGTCACTTTTCCATCATCACTCCGGTGATTACCACAGAGGGCATACCCACAGGATACCTGCGCTAATGACATTTTATTTCAAAAAAAGGGGCAATCTGCTTTTCTTCAGTATTATGCAACATGTAGCTCACATGCCAATTTCTCCCTTTACTTTATTACACTGTCTAATAAAGCAGAACATGGTGGTGGGGTAGATGGGAAGAGGGAGATGGTGAGGAAGTTGAGGGAAGGGGCAGTACTAGTGTGTTCAGGCCCCCAACAATTCTTGCGATTTCAGCTGCCCATGGCATACTGTATGTGGGACCCCCACCACTTGGTGAGTTCCCCTCCAAGTCACACAGCATGCTGACATGAAACCACACTGCTATTTCACCACCATTGCTGAGTCAAAATATCTGTAGTTCCCTCCATTCCGTGTTGTGGGTGTATAGGGAAAATTAGCGATGGGTAATAGATGAAGATTGTTTCTATCGATTCACGAGAGGAGAAGAATCTTAAGATGGCTCTTGAATCCAGAGGAAAAACTGTGCCGAGATCTCTTTCTATGCCAACATTTGGACATACAGCTGAATCAGCTATTCCTTTACTCAAGTGTTTACATCTGTCAAAGTTCAGTGATGTAGCATTTTACTCACACTGTTTGTCCCTCAGCTGGAGACAGAGACCTCGGTTTGGATTTTTCTCTCTCTCTCTGAGTTGCTGACTAGTTTTGCAACATTGTGTCTACCACAATGAAAATAACTCATTTACAAATAATTCACCAGCGCCCACAATCGGATTTACTAAACCATCAGCAACAGACCCAAGTAAGTTTTGAAAAGTGACCGAAACCTAGTGAGACAGATCCAGTGCGTCTCTGGAGCACCTTCCGAACCCGACAGTCGGTGATCAACACTGAACTAGCTCACCCTGTTAAGTATTAACTGTTGAGGGTGTGGCTAGATAGTAACCATTCGCCCCGTTTCAGTCAAAACAGCCACGCAAATGCTGTTAAGTGGGATATTTGGGGAGATGTCGAGCTGAAAAAAGGCGTGTAAGACAATTTTCATTGTTTAGACATTGACCCAACAGATAATATCATCTCCACCGCCCGGGAATAAACAGAATAACCTCTACCCAGCCTGGCATGTGCTATACACAGTTGATATGCCCCAGTCCCTACAGGATGATAGACACCGCGGATATATGTGCAGTGTGGTCCAGTTTGTTGCAAAACTCAGGCTTAAATTACTCAGAGAACGTCAGCCGCAGTAGATCGGAAGGTGCAGATGAACCTTGAATAGTAAACGACGCTGACCTCCCGGCTCAGTGGAAGAGCCCAGACTGAAAGGCTCGGGTTTATTCCAGCAGCAGCGCGGATCTTACCTGCGATACACAGCAGGGCAGCGACATCTCGGTCAGAGGCCAGACTTACACAAAACCACCGGGGATCCGCCGAGCCGCTCACCGGGCTGGGAGGGCGAATCTTACAGAGCAGTGAAGTACAACTGTCCCCAGTGCCTCCTGCCGACCGTGGCCTGCGGACGAGGTTAAATATGAGCAGGGGAGTTCCCGGGGAGGGAAGGGGAAGATGTGCCCAGAGACCGCCCCAGGAACACAGGACAAAGCGGCAGCAGCGTCAAGATCACCAGCCTCCCCCTCTCCCTCTCCCTCAAACACACAAGGGCAGGCGGAGCCCAGCTCCTGGTTTACTCCCTCTCTCCGATCTATCCCTGTGTTTCTGTCCTCGATAACAATTCACTTCCGGAGACGTCAATTTCAGTGGTAGGTTTCGGTAGCTGTTAAAGGAAACTCCCTCTGATCGTTTCTTTAAAAAAAAACACAGCTTGCTGTATACTTCTCATTTCGCTTCAATTCAAGCATGGGTTTGCCCTGGCATTAAACTGACCACTCGTTTTTTTTTGTTGATTCAGCTTGTATCCGCCTGTGTATTTCCCCCTCCCGATTTGCAATGAATCAATATTCTCCACTCCGAAAACAGCACTGATTCACCTGTAAAGCGCTCTCAAGGTCGAAAGACGCGTAAAAAAAATGGGTAAAATTTGTTCATTTGTCTGTGTATCTGCACTTTACTGCGGTAAAACTATAACCTCACATGAATAGAACTTGCGTGTTTCAATTGCTTTCCTCTTAATTGCCATCTTAATCCATGGAGTGATATTACTACGGATTGACCAAATATTGGACGACAGAAACTGGAGATTGCCAGTGGATTAGTGGAGTGACATGACAACGGCACCAAAAACAAATTTAAAAAGATCATAAACAATGACCGGGATGCATTGCCTGAGTGGGTGGGAGAGGCAGATCAATCCTGGCATTTTAAGGGAATTGGGTCATGTATTATTTACGATCGCTCCCATCCTTGATGGGAGGTCGCTTTAGCTTGGATGGTTGGCTTGCAAAGCAGTGTGATGCTGACAGTGTGGGTTCAATTCCCATCATCGGCTGAGGTTATCATGAAGGACTCTCTTTCTCAACTCTTCCACTCACCTGAGGTATGGCTACATTAAATCACCACCAGTCATCTCTCTCTAGCAGCCCTATGGCCTGGTCATTCTACCTGGCCTGTGTACGACTCCAAGCCCATAACAATGTGTTTGACTCTTAAGTGTAATCTGAAAGAGCCTCGCAAGACACTCAGTACAAAGGACAGTTAAAGGTGGGCAACAAAAGCTACCCATTTCAGCAACGTCCACATCCTATGAAAGAGAAAAGTATTCCCCTGGCTCTTCCCATTTACTTTCAAATGTTTCCCTTTATTTCTAACTCCCTTTGGAAAGCTAATATCAAATCTGCTTCTCTCCTTCTTTCAAGGAGTGGTGTTCCAGATCAAAACTCTGCATTAAAAGAATTCTCATCATGCCTTTGATTCTACGGCTAATAAATCGTTGTCCTCTCCTATCTGCCACTGCAAATAGTTTCTTATTCACTCTCAAAACTCCGCATAATTTTGAACAGCAGTATTAAATCTCACTCCAGCTTGGTCTTTTCAAAGAAGCGTGACCCCAACTTTGCAAACCCCTTCATGTAACTGAAGTGGACTGCAGCTGTTCAAAAAGGCAGCTCTCCACCACCTCCTCAAGGTCAATTAGGGATGGACAATAAATGCTGGCCCTGCCAGCAATGTGCATGTCCCATGAATGAATTTTAAAAAGTCCCTGATATCACTGTAAGACCATAAAACCATAAGAAATAGGAACAGGAATAAGCTGTTCAACCCCTCAAGTCTGCTCCACCATTCAATAGGATCATAGCTGATCCAACATTTCTCATTTTGACTTTCCTTTCCCCATAACCCTTAATTCCTCAACTGATCAGGAATCTATCTATTTCAGCATTAAATATACACAAGGATTCTGCCCCCACAGCTCTCTGTGGCAATGATTCCCAAAGACTTGCAAACCTCTGAGAGAAAAAATTTCTCATCATCTCAGTCATAAATTGGCTGCCCTTAATTCTGAAACTATGTCCTCTGGTCCTAGACTCTGCCAAGAGTGAAAACATCTCAGCATTTACCCTGTCAAAGCCTTTGGGAATCCTATATGTTTCAATGAGATCACCTCACATTCTTCTAAATTCCAATAAGTAGAGGTTCAAGCTGTTTAACCATTGCAAATAAAACAATCTTTCTATATCAGGGATCATCCTAGTGAACCTTCTCTGAACTGCCTCCAATTAAATAGTATCTTTCTTTAAATAAGGGGACCAAAACTGCCCACAGTACTGCAGTAAATCTCCATGTCTTCACCGAGACTTTACTATCTTTCCTAAAATGTGATGTCCAGATTTGAGTACAATACTCCAACTGCAGCATAACCAGTTTGTTGTAAAGGTTTAACCTAACATATTTGGTTTTGTACCCTATGTCTGTTTATAAAGCCAAGGATTCCATTTGCTTTTCTTTCAAAACCTTTTCAAAATGTTCTAATAGCGTGATTGCATTTTGTAGGTACATTCCCAGATCTCTCAGTTCTTGCATCTCCTTTAAGATTATACCATTTAGTTTGTGTTGCCTCCTTATTTTCTGACCAAAATACATCATTTCGTACATCTTTGTGTTAAATTGTGCCTCCCAGTTTCACCAGTCTGTTTAAGTCCTCCTGAAGTATGTTACTCATTTTCTCCTCACATATTTGAGCATGGTGTCATCGGACAAATTTTAAATGATGCTCAGTTTATTCAACTCAAGCCGTTAGTTTAAAACAACCACTCCCCACTACTCTTGGTTTCTGTCCACTTTGTATTCATGCTGTCACTGCCTCTTAAATCCCATGGGCTCAAATACTGTTCAAAAGCTGAATTACGTAATATCACATCTCACCATTACATCATTAAGAACTCAACAAAGAAAGTCAAGTGCCACTTACTTTTAACAAATGGCCATAGATCTTGTGGTTGGTTCGCTCGCCGAGCTGGTTCGTTGTTCCGCAGACGTTTCATTACCCTGCTGGGTAACATCATCAGTGCAGCGATTATCCAGCAGGGTAATGAAATTTCTGTGGAACAATGAACCAGCTCAGTGAGCCAACCAACCACAACATCCACAACCCAAGATACAAATCTACTCTAAAATCTTTAATGGCCATAGAGTAGGACACTTCAGCCAGATCTTGTCCATTCCATCCATTATTTTTTCTTTCTTCCTCTTCTGAACTCTCAGCCTCAGAGTAGACATGGGCTATCAGCCTCAGCGCTGACCTGGCGTGGTTTCCTCTTGGCCTGGCATGGCAGTCTCTCAGCAGCCCATGGTGGTTCGGCAGTCTCCCAGCCTGGTGTGGCAATGTCCCGACCCAACACCATGGTCTTTTGACCCAGCGTGGCCTCAGTGTGGACTTGCAGCCTCAAGGTGATGCAAGGCCCAGCCTGGACGGGAGGCAAGGGTCTGGCATGGACTGGGTTGGAAGGACTGTTTTTCTGAACGTTTTATTTCTCTATTTTCCTAATTACTCCTATGATCTGTAATGCTGGGCTTTTTCATTCCTTTATTTTTTGATTTATTTTTCCTAAGAACTCGTACTCAAGAATCTGTACCTTGTACCTAAAACAGTGCCGAAAGTGGTGATTTGTAAACTTTTCACTACACTCATTTACATACATGTTACAATAAAGCTAATTCAATTCAAAAATCATACTAGTTATTCTTTATTATTCCATATTTTTTAAGTGACAGTACATTTGACTTTGAAAAGCCCACCATTGACCTTATACATCGGCTGACCTTTAGTTATGCCTCCCCACTCTCCCATCCCCACATCATTTATTTGAACAGAGGGGTAACGTTTGAGATTCTTTACTTTTCTGGCATCACTTCCATATCTAAGGAGAATTGGAAAATTGTCAACAGAATCTCTGTAATGTACAGCCTTAATTCCCTCAGCAACACAGGATGCAGCCCACATGGACAGGCTGATTTTTCTATTTTGAGCATAGCCAAACATTTAAGTATCTGCTCTTTATCTCTTATGGTTTTATTCAATCTCTCTACTACCCACTCCTTTACCAAGACTCTGGCTGTATCATCCTTTGTGAAAATGGATCTAAAGTACTCAGTACCTCAGGTATCTGCCTGCACAAGAAGGTGTTTTTTGTTCGTAATCACTTCTTCTCTTTCCTTGAATATTATTTTCCTGTTTATATGTTTAAGTCTTTAAATGTTTAAGCTCATGGCCATCTGGTTTAGCTGCAAAACCACAATTCCATTTTCATTGCCAAATCCTGATATATTTTGAGATTTACCTTTGAGGTAATGCCAAGCATTTTTTTCTCAATGACAACCCCTATCTGCTGAAGCTGTCTTAGCTTGAAATTACAACAATGAATTCTGTGAAAAAAACAGACTAAGAAGAGACATTGAGACAACAAACTCTACCCATCCAGAACAGGTAACAGCTAGAAACAATAGGAGATATAATGATCTGTGGTTATGTAGTAGCCTAAGAATTAATAACAGAATACATCAGAATACAAAGGGAGTTTCAAACGTATCATTTTGGTACTGTAATTCCCTTCCTAATTGCCCCAAAATTGCAATGGTTCAAGAAGGCAGCTCACCACCACCTTCTCCAGGGTAATTAGAAATGGATAATAAGTGCTGGCTGAGACAGTGACACCCACAACCTATGAATAAAATTTTTTAAAATACACTGGTATAATTAACAAATGGTAAGATATTTTAGGATCATGAAGAAATAATGGAAAGGAAGAATTGACTTGCCAGATAACAATGAAGAAAACCTTGCAAAATACAGATAAGTAAGGGGTCTAGCTTCAGTTAGAAACAGGGTGAGAGTCTGTCAATTGACATGGTCTGTTTGTTAATGAGATTAAAAATTAGGACATCCTGGTGTCCTGTGGGAGGTTTTAAAGATAACAGTGATGAAGTGTAGGGTGTCTAAAGCAAAGACAAAGATTACATCCCTGTAGTATGTAGACATACATCAATTGTTTGCTCATTTTGATTGACATAAATCTGGAACAAAGACCATCTAATTGGCTGCTTTGGCGTCATCCTTCTCAACCAGTGTCCAGCTTCTAAATCTCACTATGTCTCACTTATGTCGACTTATGCTGTACATTTCTCCCAACTCTCCTGTACCCATGATTGCCTCCCAAGTCAAATTCTAGGTACATAATAACCAACATAATGTTTGCATTACCAGTTGGTTCCATTTCCTCAGTTCCATTTCCTTCAACCCCTCTGCTTTATTTGTTTCTCTAACTACTGCCTTCTCTCTAACTCTCCTTTCCTCTGAAAGGTTCTTCAACAGGTCATCAATACCCAGCCCCATACTCACCTCTCCCTTCACTTGCTGCTTCATCATTTGTCTTCT